ATTTCGGTATTTATTGCTATTACAGTGGGTTTGTTGTTGCTGAGTACTGTAGAGTGGGAACTGACCCAAAGCTGACCCTCTGGTAGGTTTTCAGAGGCAGTTAATTGCATGGGAAGAGACTGTTCATCCTTCTCTCACAGAGCAGCTGGTGGCCTTGAACTGTGTGCCTTTGGGACTGCATGCAGCTTCTTGCCATTAGGCCATAGCTGGTCTAGTGATTTTTTTTTAAATGGGTAACAATCAGATACCAAAACATAACTTCTTAGAAATGGGAGTTCAATTTTGAAATAGTTTCTCAGAGACAAAGTTTTAATTCCCTGACTAGCTTTGGCATGAATAGTGAAAAGAAAGACCAGCTGGACTTTTGTTGGGTCTTTTCAGTCATGCACGAAGACAAACATCAAATTTTGAGACTGTGCTTATAGTCTCTCATGTTGTTCAATGATTATTTCCAATAAGGGACGAGTAACTCACCAATAAGCAGGCTGGGATAAAACCTTCATCTGTACAGTGCTCTGCATATTCTTTTAAATTTGAACTTTCCAAAATAAAAGTCTGGCAAGTAGAAGTGAGGTTTTCTTGCTGTAAGTAACCTAAATGGAAAAGAAAAGTTTAGATATTTTTAAATACTTTTAGTCAAATGTGTTCTGTAAAACTGCTGTTGAAAATTTTTAACTAAATGGATAAAGCCTAAGGTGAAAGTGATGCTATTTAAGCAGCCTTGTCCAGAAAATACAATGTTGCACTGCAATTAATGTGGAACAGATGGACCCTTGACAGAAAACAACTAGGAAAGTGCAGTTACTAATAGTAACGCTTTCAGGAAACTACTGATTAATAATACCGACTATAAATAAAACTGAGTAGGTCAATAAGAGGTGTTTTCACTTACTAGATAATCTTAAAAACTACATTCTCTCCCCACTTGGCTGTTTATTTGTATACTTCACCTACCTAATTAATGGTTTAAAGTAGGAGTGATGAACAGAAGATCCACTTTGCATGAAACCTTAACAAAATAAAATAAAAAGCCCCCAAAACTCCTTTTTGGACTTTTAATATATGTCTTTCAGAAATCACAACCCTACAATTTCAATAAGTACTCTTTAACATTATTCATGTCTAAGAGCATCTACAGTGCAGTGTTACATATCTATCTGTGCTTGGTACTATCACACTCAGAATGCTGCTGTTTATCTTGTTAGTCTATCCCTGTTACTGAAGTTCTCAGGATTACTGGGCCTTAACTAACATAGATGTTGAAAACGGCACAACAGTATAAAAAGTGTCCTGGACAGGACATCAGGTGGCTAGATTCTAAATACACTTAAATTGTTGAGGACTCAGTTTTCTCTCTTAAAACATCAGAACTGCCTAGACTTGTGGAGAACTCTGCCCATATTACTCTTTCTTGCACAAAGCCCTCCAAGTACCTCCCACAGCTCTCAGTCTGAAATTCTTAAATGTTAATTAAAAAAGTGATAACAGAGTCAATGGCAAAGGGCTTCTGAAAATCCTCTTTCATATATTGACCAAAGAGGACAAAATGATAAAAATCAACTTTTCAGAACTTTGGAAAGGAATCAAAAGCTTGCAACAATTTGAACATTTATGAAATAAAAACCACTAACAAATCCATCTTTGTACAAACAGCAATTTTGGTGACACTTTCATTTGTCCTGGTCCCAAAAACTTCTCTTCAAATTGCATGCTAGCCTTTAAAACAGCTCAGATTCATGGTTAAAGCTATCAGTCTAGTAGCAGAGGTCAGACAGTGCTGGAGTTTTTAAAAGTTCCCATTCCTAGAGAATTGGCATTACTGACTTGTATGGCAGTCCTTTGTAACACTACACTTGTATGGATTTTATCTGACCTGAATCACAGGTTACCCACTCTCACGAGGGGTATATCTGTGGAAAATAAGTAATGACAATTGTTTAACATATAAGCAAACAGTAAAACTACTAAGAAAGACTTTTGAGAGCTGAGAGCATGATGACTTATCACATACAAAGAAAAATAATGGAGTAAGATTAATATCCCACTGTTGATCATTAATCTTGGAGTCTGCGGTTGGGAAAATGGCATTCAAATTAGTGATATACACAAAATAATACAACAATAATAATAATATATCAACCAAGAATTCTATATCCAGCAAAATTCTTCAAAAACAAAAAAATCAAGACAGTGTCAGCTTAAAACAATGGGGGAAAAGCAAACACCAAAACCAAAGACGGAATTAATCACAAATAGTGGGACATTACAAGAAAATGGCAAGGCAGTTCCTCTGGATAAAATGCAGGCACTCAACAGCAATTCCAACCTACATAAAGAAATGATGAACTCTGGGAACTATAATGTTATGCCAACATGATAGTATAAATTATTTTGAAAGTTTCTCTTCTGCTTTAAAGTACAAATGCATACAATAGTAATTATAAACCTGTTTACACTATTTCGTGGTTTTTGGAATAGACGGAAAACCTTATAAGCAGTTCCTTACTTCACATCTGCCTTGCATGCGGACTTCCGAGCTGTAAAACAACCCAGTGGTAGGTGGAATTTGGTCCAGGACTTAAGAACAATAAATGACATAGTTGAGTTTCTACATCTTTTGGTTTCTAAGCTTTATACTATAATAGACAAAGTGCTAGTCAATAAGCCATTTATTTTAAGAACTACCTTCCCTCTGTAACTTGATTTGTGCCACTGTTAGAACCTCTACTTGGAATATTATTGCTTGTTAATTTTTGACTCATGTACTTTTAACTTGTTAAATTTGTGTCTTCTAGGCTACAACAGTTCCATGATGCATCTTCAAGGATATGAACATGTATGGCTAAGCACAATTCATAACAGTGCATCTAAATTTCAAAATCAATCTCCACAATAGTCTATGTGTTTCCTATTGCCAAAAGAGACCCTTTAGAGTAGTGAGAGAAGACCTTCACCCTGAAACCCACAGGGTCCCTTTTCAGCAGGAAGTAGCTAAGAGAATATGCCATCCCCTCTTCCTTATGAATCAGGGTTAAATCTTTCTCAGGGAGGAGTGATAGGGAATGGCAAAGGACACACTGACAAAGTAGATTAATCAGAACTGGTTTTGACAAGCACTGTGGCAATGGGACAATTAAAACAGACTTTCAAAGGAAAAAAGAGAGGAACGAATTGGGGAGGTAGAGAAAATAGTGCAACAACGAATGAATGAAAATCCAAAATCTCTGTAAATGTTCATTAAAATTAATAAAATAAAAAAATAAAAACCTGTTTACATGGGCACACAATATATAAATACACACTTTTTTAAAAAAAATGTAATTTTTATGAAACAGAATTAGATATATACAGGATCAAAGCCTTTTATTTTTTTTAAATTTAACTTTATTTCATTATTTTTTGTGTGTACCATCAAATCAGATCTGACTGGTACAGGAAGAGATTGTTTCTCCTTCTCCAGCAGAGCATCTGGTGGATTCGAACCGTGCACCTCTGAGATTGCTGTGTAATTTCTTGCCACTAGGACACCAGAACTCGCCTAAAGCCTTTTATATTAATGAAATAAAACTGATAGTAATTCAAACCAGACTGTTAGAAACTAAGACATTATTTGTAATCTTTGGGGAAATCAAGAAGAGTAACTAAAAATTAAAAACGCATAAACTTAAAAACCACATGGTTGTGTACCATCAAGAGGAAATCAACCCACAGCTTACTCTCCAGTAGGTTTTCAGAGACAATAAATCGCATGGGAGGAGACTGCTCATCCTTTTCACATGCAGCAGCTGGTGGATTCAAATGCACAGCTTTGGAACTGCAGTACACTTATTACTAGGCTATCAAATACATTTTGTTGTGTGCTACTGAGAAAGAACCTAACCACAGCTAACCCTCGAGAGAGTTTTCAGAGTAAATAGCACCAGAAGAGATCATCCATCCTCCTAGCGGAGCAGCTTGTGGATCTGAACTACTTGCTTTTGGGATTGCAGCCCAACTTCTTACCTCTAGGCCATCAGAGATCAACAAATTCATTGTTGTTGTTGTATACCATAGACTTGGAATCTACCCTCCTGGTAGGTTTTCAAAGGCAATCACACAGGAGATTGTTCATCCTTCTCCTGTGAGGAGCCTCAACTGCATGCCTTCAGGACTGACTTCAGGACTGCAGAGCAGCTTCTTGCTACTAGGCCACCAGAGCTCCCTCACCAAACACACTGTTGTTCTGTCAAGTGCCGCCAGTCAAGGATGACTCATAGGACCCTATGAACAAAAGACCTGAATCTTGTACTATTAACTATTGTCATTTCTCTGTTCTTAAGAGTTTCCAGAGGCATATGGTTTAGTTAAGTGGATGCCACTAATGCTTCCAAACCTGAATCAATCTGGGAGGTCCACCAAACATGGTCCACGATGGATAATCATTTTAGTGTTAGACACACCAGTAGTACAGCGTTCAGTATCACAACAACCCCAATTTACTTCAGCACAGCAAACTGACAGACCAGTCCTGTATCCCTTAGAAGAATGTGTTCATTCCAAACACAATTAGCCCATTAGTGGGATGAAGATAAACCCAACCCACAGCCACTGACTGACTGGATCATCCTGACTCGCAGTGACTTTGTGGGGCAGAGTAGAAATGCGCCACATGATTTCTGTGGAATAGTGAATTATTATTTTTTTATTAATTTTAATGAAAGTTTACAGAGACTTAGGGTTTCCAGTCATTCATTGTTGCACTTTTCTCCCTGTCCACCCCCCCCCCCCAATTCACTCTTCTCCTTGATAAGTAAAAGACAAGACTCTTTTGTTGCTATGCAATCCCTCCCCCAAATCCACTGCACTGTGCAGCCTTCATTCTGGACTCCTAACATGACAATAATATCTAATCATATATTCCTTTGAAACAGATCTCTCCCTCATCTGTTGCAATGAATAGTGAATTATTTAATGTGGATCTTCTAATCATGACTTTTAAATTCCCACCAACAGACCAGCTGTCTGCTGTTATGTGCCATTCAATCAACTACAAATCAAAGTGACACAGAAACAAACGACAGATCAGAATCTTGACCTATCTGGCACCATCCTCATATGAGATGTAGCTTCCTTAAAATGAACTATAGACGCAAAGTGGCCAGAGTAAGGATACACTGCTTGAAAAATTGTAACTCAGGTTTTGGAAGACAAGATAAAAATTGTAATTTAAAAAAGAGTTATATTTCAATAGATTATGCATTGTTTTTTGTTTGTTGAATACTATCAAGTCAGAACCAACTCTGCAGCGGGTTTTCAGAGATGGTTCATTGCATGGGAGGAGATGGCCCATTCTTCTCCCAAACATAAAAGTGGATTAGAACCATGTGCCTGCAAGATCACAGCACAGTTTCTTACCACCAGAGCTCCCTATTACATATATCTTTAAAAATTTTTTTGAGATTTTAATGAAAGTTTATAAAGGACTTGGATTTTCATTCATTGTTGCACATTTTCTACTTTGCCCCCCTCCCCATATTATGTATATTAAAGTATAATTAATTGTTATGGAATTCTCATTCTTCTCAAGGCTAGCCATTGTTAGGATCCAGAAGTC